GCAAGCAAAAGAAGGTGATGCAGGCAGGGACAGGCTTTTTGCTCGGTGGCGCCGCTGCTGCGGCCTTCATTGCAACAACGTGTCTTGTCGTTCTCTTAGTATACGCTGTACCTTTACTTAGGTAGTATAGAATGGGGTATAGCAGCACACGAGCATGTGTAAGGCACCGTACCACCGAATAAGAGCAAACAAGGAGCTCGCAGTAGAATAGCCGGATAAATATAATAATGAGACTTGAGGTTGTGGGGAAACATTGGATTAGACACATCCGGTGCAAAACCCGGTTAGCAAGTAAAGCTAAGGGTGCGCATGTACATATGTATGTATGCATGTACGTATGTCCGGTTAGCATAACTGCCTGTCTGTCTGCATGCAGGCCTGCATGTATGTACGTGTTTATGAGTACATCGTGGAAATGTGTTGGACCTGAGGATTGGCAGCCTCTCGCTTCTTGACACCGGCTCAGCGGTGACTTCGGTGTTATCTGTTCTCGTCATCACAGAGTCGGTTGTGGCATTTGGCTGTTGGCTTGCCATCATGATGGTCGACCCTGGCACAGTGAAGAGGTCATCAGAGACCACAGAACCGATGCCAGCAAAAATCGTGAGCCATCTTGCCAGTGGAGAACCTATGGACTCGCTCCCGATGCTCGTGGTTGAGGATGGAGAGATCTTCTGTACTCAGTGTCTCGTTTGGCGCAGAAAGACCTCTCTGAAAGACTTCACAACCGTGGCTCATTGGACCTGTTGTGTGCCACGACGGCGCTATGTGGAGCTGTGCGGTCACCATTGTGAGATCTGTAACCGCTGTGTTCCAGATTTCCACGGTCACTCTAACATGCTCGGGACGTGCATCTCCAACAGGAACATCTACTTCTTAGCAGTGCTGTTGTTCATGGGTGGGCTGGGCTTCATGACCGCCTTGAGCTCGGTGTTCATCGTATTCTTCCAGCGCGACAAGTGACTGCCTCCCATGTGCCGAGCCAGATGAGACGCATGAATCTGTTTCCTCAGAGCGTCGGCCTTTTTTAGCGGCTTGCATGGGGCTTGAAATTAAGTAGCATTGATAGGTACATCCCCGCGCGAATATCTGAAGGACTTTCGCGCGGGGTATGGTTTGGGCCGAACTTTTGCTTCAGACGCACCGTCTAAGCGCTGCAACCGTCGCAGCAAGAGCTGGGACATTTTGATTCGTTTGCTTCTCAATTCTTGTCCTGCACCTAGACCCCTTCGAAGAAGTAAGTGAGCATGGTCGGAAAAGACAGACTAGGACAGGCTCGGAAGAGGCTTGCTCATGAACACTGCAAGCTTGTGTTGCAAGATGGTACCTTTGCGCACTGGGAAATTGATGCCCCAGAGTGGGCTGAAGACAAGCTGCTGCTAAATGCAGGTGTGTCACGGCCAAGACGGCTGGGGCAGCACCAAGCCTCCGTCCTATGCTTTCTGGCCTCGATCTCAATAGATGACAGCTTCTTCACAGCTTTTGAAAGCCATGCAGCCCTCCAGAAGAGAATTCCTTTGAGCCCACAGGGCCCGCTGGAAGAACTGTAGCGGGGAAGACATCCTTAGGTCATGCCGAGAAACACCTTGGCGAAGACCCTGCACATCCCGCGAATTGCGAAAGCTGCGGAGTCCGGAGAAGGCAGGCAGCCTCGTGAGTCCATGGTCGCTGAACTTACCTTTGGTTAAGTAGGGAATGGAGGAATGGGGTACAATCATAACTACTATTACTACCATTCTTCCACTCCCTACTAATGAAAGGTAAGTGAAGCTGGGATGGTATGAGACGGATAGACGTCCAGTTTAAGCAGTGATCTTAGCACGAGCAAGTTACAGGGTACCAGTACAGGCTACGGCTATACGGTACAAGTTTTGGGGTACTACTGTAGGGTACATTTATGGGTTACTACTATATGGTCCCGTTTCATTTTTTCCCACTAGCATCTGCGGATTGAACATTAACGTTACCGCTTCCTGCCCTGTTTCGGGCACCCTCTTCTGAACCCCCTCAGCCTACGATCTCATTTGGGGCCTGATGTAAGGCTTAGAGAAAACAAGAGAAGTGCCACCACCCCGCCACGACGATCTTCGTGCTCCGGCTCCCGCTGCTCCTGCTGCTCCTGCTGCTCCTGCTGCTGCTGCTGCTGCCGCTGCTCCTCTTCCTCTTCCTCTTCCTCTTCCTCTTCCTCTTCCTCTTCCTCTTCCTCTTCCTCTTCCTCTTCCTCCTACTCCCACAACTGCTATATACAGATAGATAGATCCATCTCTCTATCGATCTATGTATTCATTGTCTTTCATGTATCTATCTATCTATCTATCTATCGATCTGTCTATCTATCTACTTATCTGGTGCTAGATGTTACCATCACTATTGCATGTTTCACATTTTTGCATCCACCAGCACGAACCTGGACCAAGGCCCGGGTAGCAAAGCCATGGCCGATGAAGCGGCTAACGGACGGCTGGGAAAAGATCAGGGTGCTGGGTTCAGGGTCTAGCGTGGTGGTTTCGGAGATAAGGCATTGGTCTAGGGTGCTACAGGCTACTGTAAGAGTACTGGATCCGCGATGCTTCAGGCTGCTTGTGATCGAGGCGTTTGCTGGTCGGAACTTCAGGAGTTCTCGCCAAGCTTGGATCATGGGCAGACTTCGGGCCTCTTTCAGTACATACGCCCACGAGGTCAGGGCCAATCGCGACACTCTGTGCCCGAACAGAAACGAGAGTGTGGGGAGATATCTGAAGGGATTGAGCGAAGAAGCCAAGAAGTGTAACTCCACTGTGGTGCTGACCCCTTCACCTTTTCTTGCCATGTGCTGCAACTTGCTCCACCAAGCGGGGCTGTGACCGAATTTGCCACAAAGGCATGCCAACTTGCAGGAGACACCATCCACCAGATGTCCGTCCAAGCCTTGGCAGTCACCCGATGTCACGACGAACAAAGGGCCATGCGCATGTGGAAACATCCTAAAACAATGATGGGCCCCGACGCTCAAAACTCGGCTCCGTCCCAACTGTCATGTTAGATAGATGCTCGAAAAGGACGTTGAAGCCGTGCTTCTGCCCTCGTTGCGCTCGGTCCTATCCGAAACCCTGATCCAGGTCCCGTGCACAGCGGACGCCCTCCCCGTGCTACTGGGCTCTTGTTAAGGAATTTCAGTCAAGTTGCCACAATAGAGATCTATAATAAGTAATATGCCCTATAAACCCTTAAAGGACAAGTTACCATAAGAGGTATCTATAATAAAAATAATATTTCCTAAGCCCTTAAAGAGTTACCATAATAGGGACCTTTTTACAAAAAAATATTTCCGAAACCCTTAAAGGAGCCCTTAACAAGAGCCCAGGCTACCTCCCAGCTGGGCCTCGAAGTCCTTCGCCCATCGAGATCACGGAGCTGCAGGGTCAGGTGCGGCCTCCTAATATGGGGGTTTCCGATAATATAAGGGTACTATATGGGTTCTATAAAGGGTTTAGGGTTTAGAGTTAGGGTTTCCGAAAATTGGGGGTACCATATTTTGCGGTTCTTATAATAAGGATCCTACTATTTGGGGTATTGTATTAGGGTCCCCTATTTTCGGAAACCCCCCATATTATGGGGGCCTTTAATAGTTGCAGTGTAATATACCCCAGAGCCCTGCTCGAATGATTAAGGCCCTTATATATTATCGTACAATAATTGTAGTAATTATCATCTACCCCAAGGCCCTGTTCTAGTTATGGTAACTCTGGGACTCTTGTGCTGGTTTGGGAGCGGGAGCTGGACTTTCAGGCAGCTCTCACGTTGCTCAAGGTTTCGGGATTTGGAGGAAGGTGGCGATGCATGGGTGTTTGAGCCATGGAAGCATGCCTTTGCCAGGCATTTTTTATCTCCAAGTTGCCCTTGAGTTTTGCAGCCCACCGGAGGTGCAGAGTTCTTTGCGCGGTTTGGCCGAGAGCTGAGCTTTCGGTGTTTAGTCTGCTCCTAGAGAATCCATGCTACGAAGCACCTAAGATGAATGCGCGTCTGCATCATGCGTACATCCGTACATCTGCATACACATGAACGAGATGAACTAAAGGTTTTTGAGTTTACATTTGGGCACTTAAAACTCCCAAGTTGAGAAGTCGCAGGGGCTATCAGTATCTATAGCTTGCATTCGGAGCTTAGCCTTGGTTTGCTGTGGGACTAATGTATGCAAGAGCCAGGGAGATTTAGAAAGCATGTTGCTGCTACATGTCCGAACGGGTTCCGTTTGCCCCTAGCACCGGTCTACCGTTAAATCCGTGCTGACGTGCAGCCCCAACACATGAACTCAACGTGCAGAGTACGAATGGATGCATGCCGACTCAGACAGTATTGACCCCCTTGATCACGTCATCATATCCGTGCCATTTACTCCATGTTGACCAAGGTCATAACGTTCATTCCGCGTGAACACAGGTGTTCGGTTGACATTAACGAGGGTGGTGGGCGCGGCGAATGAAGGTGTTTGCATATTATCGAGAAGCGTTGCGCACCGTCAGGAGCAGAGCGAAATCCAATGTGTCGTGTTTTTGTCGGCTTTCTGCATAAGGTTGGCCGGTTGTGACCGACTGTACTAGATGGACACAACAGGTGAGTACCTGCGCACCCGCACAATCAAGCAATCGCAAGCACGGACCCTTGCACTTTTGTCGTGGATTGTCCACTGCTCACAGTCCTTATGTGCACCGCATGAAGCCCAAGGACTCTTGCTGCCAATCGCTCGGGCCTGAGTGTCAAGAATGCTTTCAAGATTGCTTTCAAGCTGTTGACTCTTGTAATGCAAGCGATCGGACTACATTGTGGACCAAGCCTGCCAGTACTGGGGTGAACGCAGGTATGCTCACAAGTGATGAACATGATTCGCGACGGACAAACGCCGGTTCTCCTTTTATCATTGCACAACAGCATCCGGCCGCAGTGCCCTTCACGTCTCGTAGCAGGGCCCTCACACGAACAGGATGCACAGGCTGGCTCGGCAGCTGTTTGCGCTGACAGCAATGGCATTCTGTGTTCTCGAAAGAAGCTTCGTCTCAGGGCCCTGGAATCCGTGGATCCTGGAAAGGCAAGGAAAGCACGAAGAGGAACGGCACTTGCGGCGAGCGACAGCGACTCCAATCGCTACTCTGCAGAATGCAGATCCCGACGTGTTGCTCTATGCCTTAGAGGCTGGCGATAGGGAGAAGGCTCTTGAACTGCTACGCGGCCCGGGTGCCGAGGCGTTACTGCGGCGACGGTCCCGCAGGCGGGACTGCACGCCGCTGATGTTGGCAGCTGGCGCCTCTGGCGAAATCTACGAGGAGATCGTGGAGTGCATCCTCGCCTTCGGCAGTGCTGCCAACGTCGCAGCTAAGAGCCGTAGCTTCCGCACGGCCGCAGACTATGCGGCGATGCACCCCGGTCCCGGTAGCGCCCGGCTCGCTAGGCGTTTGAAGGCCCTGGCCACCGAGGAGTTGGCAAAGACGGCAGACGTTCGATGTCCCTGTTGTGGGGCAGCACTTATGCGGCGCCCAAGAGTAGCTTCTTTGGCGGACCGCTACCGAAAGGGGCGGCACACGAATCCGCTCCTTCAGCGTTTCTTCAAAGACTGGCCAAATACCTGGGAGGCTCTGATGGGCCCGGAGTTCCACACCTTTCACAAAGCGCGCAGCCTGCACAAGGAGCTGTCCGAATCCCTGGCAGCTCTTGAAGAATTGGAGGAGTTGTGCCCAGAGCTGCAACGGGACGAGGGGAAGGAGTTGCACCTCATGGACCTGTGCTGCGGCAAATCATTGACGTGCGCCCTCGCCGCATCACGCTTTCCGAAGCTCACAGTGTCTGGCGTAGATTTCGTAGGGCCAGAAGCTCTGCCACACTACGAATGGGCTGGTATGCGCAATGTAGAATACCTACAGCAGGACGTGCTTGCCCAGAACAGCACAAGTGTTCTGAGCCAAAGAATAGCGGAAGTCCAACGGCCAACTGCAATCATTGGTATCCATCTTTGCGGTCGGCTTAGTGAGAGAGCGGTTGAGCTCTTCGCATTGGAGCAGGTGACTACTTGCATACTTGTTCCATGCTGCTTGCCGCACCTTCGACAAGCCCCTGCGTCCCTGACCCATCTCTACCGGAATTCCGTACCCGATGCGACCCAGTATGCGGAGTGGGCTTCCTACTTGCAGGAGCGACTCATGGAAATGCCTGGCACTGTGGTTCGGACAGTGCTGGCGCCTGATATGATGTCCGAGAAACGTCTGGTCTTGACCGCAACGAAAAGAGCCACGCACTGTGTTTTCATGCCGCGCATGCCATGGATCAATGGTGATTAGCAGCATTTCGGCTTTTCTGGACTGGTTGTGTCGTTTCCTGGATTGACCGAGGTCGTCACCGAAACCCTCGATCCAGCCTTGGGCCATCACCCACAAGGTCTGCATCATAGATTCCAGGGAAGTCTGTGGCTTGGAGATATTGGATGCACGGCCAGGGAGACCGCCAGCTGCTTTCCTCGCTGATCCTGACAGCCTCGAGTGCCCTGTCGGAGCTGTCCGGCCTTCAGCGGCAAGTCAGAGGACTCGCACGTTCTGTCGGGATCTTGCACACTTCAGGCCAATGTACTGCTCAGAACAGCTGACGGAGATGTCGGACCTCCCAGCCACAAGTGCACAGGGAGAGGCTCGAAGGGGCAGAGTTGACTTTCTACACTTGGGTTGATCGCTTAGTCGAAGATGCGCCAGGCAAGTCACCCCAGTGACCTCCTCACCAACACGGTGGAAGGACCCTTCAACAATGGACCTTGATTGTTCTCACACCCCGGCAGAGGAGATCTGGCATCGTTGCGGGTAGTTGTTGCGTTTCGTGTGCAGAACTTGTGGGGCGGTCGAATGTGTTCCCTGACATGCAAGCAGCGGCAGGAATGAACACACACCTCACTCAACTTAAGGCCCCATGCGTTACTTTCCCTTCATCCTACTTGTGCACGATCGATGCCCTCAACAGTTGTTTCGTGCTTGAATTGTGATGTGCGTGACTCTCGTGGCAAAGGACTGGGTGTGGCGGCTGAAGTCCTAGGCTCCCGGCCCAGTTTGAGAAACTCTCGTGTTCAGATTCGAGACGTTGGGCTTGACACTTGCAAGAGGTGAGAAAGCCAGAGGACCAGCGAAACCGGCCTGTTTTCAGTTGCTGACTGCCTCCGGGTGTTGCAATCCGAATGTGCAGCAAAGTCTCTGGCATCTCTTCGGTTCGCAGATAATTCGTGGGTGCGGCTGTCAGCTACCTCCTCACGTGTATGAGTCTTCGGCCGCCAGCTTTCGCTTTCAGGAGGGTTTCTGTAGCTTCCTTAATAATTAGAATAGGGTTTTGGGGCCCACTAGACTATAATTAAAAAAGGAAACCCCCAAATAGAGCCCTACTAAAGATCCCTTATAAATCCCGAAAAGGAACCCTTTAACGGAACCCCCCCAAATTAGCATCGGTGAGTATTGAGGACCCTATATTTCGTGCCTCCAGGTTGCCATGAGCATACGCGCGAAAGCAGTGCGAAGCTCAGCCTGTTTGTCTGTCTGCGGTTTAGGGTTTAGGGGCGTAGGGAATGGAGGAATGGGTTATTGGGACTACCATTGGGGACCTTGAGGGACTACTGTAAAGATCCATTCCCCCATTCCCTACTAAGCACCGGACAGTTGTGAGCACGGCAGGTGGAAGCGCTTGCATCCGCAGTTGCTTCATGCCTCTGAATGAGATGCTGCTTCCCCAAATCACACTAGTAAATCCTACTACAGAACGCTAGATTCTACAGAATCTGGCCTGAGCCCCTGCATTTCCATGCCAAGCAGTGCAGGAAGTAGCCCTCGCAGGTGCCAGCTGAAGCTCCATGCCCTTGAACTTGAGCCCAGGTTTGAGCTAAGCCCTCTATATATACACATATATAATATATATATATATATATATATATATATATGTATATACACACACACTATGATATGTCTTGCCTGATCTTTTCGAAGTTCTATGCTGACTCAAGGTTTCACGGTTGGCCACGGCGAGCGCTCTGCGACAGCTAGTTCATCTCCACGGTCCGCGCCGCTTTGGATCACAACAAGCATGTAGCAAATCCTTCAAAACGATCGAAATTCGATTTGATATGTCCCAAAGTCGAAGCCTTATTCAGCTTCGTTCCCACTTTATTCGTGATGAGCCAGGTAAGGCTGATAGCGAGCCGGAGGAGGGCGAGGCCTGCAAATAGCTTCTTTCACAGCCAAGTTGGTGAAGAAGCGACAACTTCCCGAGATTCTCCGACTGACAACGCAGGCGATGCCACGAGTCTGCCGATTTTTGGAAACAGTCGAATCAACAGGTAGGCAGCGACGAAACTACCTAAACGGTTCTAGGATGTTGTTTTTTTGGAATCGCGGCGTTTGTTTTTTGCCTTTTAAGGGTTTTTTTCGGGGGCTCTGGGGGCCTTGTCGTGTTTAGATTGCCTGGTGCTTTCTGGAAGTAGACGGTACTGGTACCTTCGGGTTCTTCTTTTGGAGCAGGAGCAGGAGCCAGCTGTGCTGACGTCCCAAAGCGAGCACAGTCGTGAGCTCAGTGACTTCGTTTGGACGGGGGACGGGGACTGCCACTGCCACTGCTACTGTTACTGTTACTGCTACAACAACTACTGCTGCTGCTACTACTACCACTACCACTACCACTACCACTACCACTACCACTACCACCACCACCACCACCACCACCACCACCACCACCACTACCACTACCACTACCACTACCACTACCACTACTACTACTACTACTACTACTACTACTACTACTACTACTACTACTACTACTACTACTACTACTACTACTACTGCTACTGCTACTGCTACTGCTACTGCTACTGCTACTGCTACTGCTACTGCTACTGCTACTGCTACTGCTACTGCTACTACTACCACTGCCACTGGGGTGCTGAATCTGGGCCCAATTCTCAGGCTGCTGCTGATAATGCTAGTGATGATGGTGATGATGATAATCATGATGATGGTGAACGTGAAGAAGCTGAAGATGATGATCATCAGCACCATGTTGTTCATGATGTTAGTCATGTTAGTAGGTTGTTTGTCCTGCTGCTGCCATGATCATCTTGAGGAGCACGATGTAGATGGGCACGGACTGCCTGTTATCATGTTGGCCTAGTCAAAAAACAGAGTTGCAGAGATTGTCATAACTCTGGGACCAAGATGGGCGGATTAACATCAGAGCCTCAAGACTCCTCTTGTTACACTGACCGTACGGCGTGTCGAATACCTTGTTCTCGTTTCTTCCGGCCCTTCGTTAAAGATTCGGAGCCTCTTGGGCCATCCGGGCGTACGTGACAAGGCCAAGCCCATTCAGCCGACGTTGAAGTGAAGCGGCGAATGTGGGATGCTGAGGGGGGGTGGGGCTCCAGGAGTTCATCACGGCTTACTATACGGAGTTCAGTTGCGCGTCATGAAGACAACAGCCAGAATCTGCGTGTAATGCAAGTTGAGTGGGCCAGGCCAAGGCAGAGCATGTCGAGGCAGAGCATGTCCTCACAGGGAACCCGGCGCCTGCGCACAGCTCAGCATTTGGCGGCGGAAATTCGATCTTTGGCTTCTGTGAGACAGAGAAGGAAGGAGTCTCCGAATTTCGTAGTGGCCAGGATTAGAATCGGCTTCTTGTTGCCGGCAGCCATCGTAAAGGGAAGTATTGTAGTGACAAGCAAAGCATGGCGCCGAACCCCGGCTCGAAATTTCATTAAGGTACCATAGCGAGCGAAAAAACTATCAGACAAGTCGGATGACAGCTGTCGCAAAGCTGATTGAAATAGATGCAAAATCAGATAGAAGCACCCACTGCACAATCTTGTGACTGAGAGCAATCAAAACCGTCAACCCAAGCCCAACTTTATCAGGTCCACACGGGCCAGCTTGCTCCAAATGACCTACGACCAGGAGCCGGAGTGTGTTTGCAGGTTATGTGAACTCCTTTGAAGCCAAAACTGTGGGGGCTACTTAGGACTTAGGGCCACCGGTCTACGGCCAAGATGTGATGTAAGGTTTGAGGTTTTGAGTTCAGGGTTTCCAGCATTGAGAACTCTACTTTGCGACGTGGGCTCGGAGCTGTGACCTGACTCCACGGTTGCCACTGAAAGGCTTCATGATCCTTTGGCTTGGCGACGTACTCTAGTTGCTGTTCTGTATCGTTATTGTTCGTCCTCCTGCTGGTTTCTTCTGTCATTATTGTTATTATTATTATTGTTGTTGTTATTACTATTATTATTATTATTATTATGACTTGAGTCTTGGCTCTGGTGGTCAGCTGTCGGCAGGGCCTTTCAGCCAAAGAGTCGCTGGCGGCCGGTGTGCCCAGTCGTTCAGAGGCTGCAGCTGTGGCGCCACTTGAAGATCTTCCGTGTAGTCTATAAGGACCTTAATACTTAGAATACGGTTTGGGGTTAGAATAATCGTAGTTGTAATACGAGAGGTCATTTCATTAGGGGATCATGAAGTGAGCAAGGTCTGGACAGGATCATGAGTTGAGCACAGGCGTTGTGCGGCACCACTCTTGTCAATGTCCTGCACCTCTCTTGCAGCAACCGGCTTGCAGATCTGAGGCCATGCTCAGTAGTGCGGAGAAGAGCTGCAAGTTGAGCTTTGGCCTGAGCTGTTCTTGCCTGTCCGACCTTGCTGATTGCAGAGCGTTTCCTGAAGGTTTCATATGTAGCCATGATCGCTACAGCGACATAGACATACATAGTCCTCCGGAAAAGCGTCTGAGGTTCGTTGAGATTGAGGACTGCAAGCCATTTCAGTCGTTTGCACAGTGATCGCACAGGTTCCAAGATCCAAAACAAGAAGTACAGAGAGGCGGACTCTCCTGTGTCAGCAGCTCCATGCTTCTGATTGGAGTGATACTAGTCACGGTTGCTTCGATGTTGGTGAGCTTTGTCATCCCCATACTTCGTGGCCTATGAGTTATTGTATTTTTCATTCCTGGCATTATTAATATCATTACTACAGTTACAATTAGAGACAGTGTCTGCAGCCCATGGCCTCTCACAACCGGTGATCCCTGTTAGAGATGCGAGATGCTAGAGACCGCCACTAGCCTCTCCGCAGGTTGCCTCCAACACAACGCTGGGGAAGATCGTGGGGTCCTCGGAAGACCCAGAGAGCCCAATACCCCTTAATTAAGGAATATGGCTTAAGTTATATAGGGCTTCATATTATGATTTAAGCCATATTCCTTAATTAAGGGGTATTGGGCTCTCTGGGGAGTCTTCGAGTCTTCAGCCCGATGCACTGACGCAGCTACTGTAGGG